TTTAACATGTTGACCTCACAAGGTTTTACACTTTTTTCTACAGGGTCCTCACGTTTTGAGGATTTCATGTTGTAGAAAAAATGATGGTGATGTTGAATGTGTGTGAGTGAGTGTGTGTGTGCAGTCAGAGACAGAGCTGTTCTGTCACACTGTAATAAAACACAGTAGTAAGTGTTGTCTCGGTGCCTGGAGGCCACACCAGGATGCAGACATTTGTGTGACTGGGCTGCCCTCTGAAGGCCAAAGACTGTCAGCAGCAGCGTACAAACTTTGAAATTATGCAGATCAGGCTCGAACCAACACATGTGAATCAGAGTAAGTGGAGATACTCTACTGGGTAAGTGTGATTTATTAAAAACAACAACAACACACAAATAAAAAAAGAGATAATCCCATTTTCATATAACTGAAGTCACTAGCTCATATGAAAATATTTTTTTTTGTGTATTTAAAATAACTGATTTAATGTTTTATTGTTGTGCACTAATCTGTTTCATTACTTCCATCCATCCATCAATCCATCCATCGATCCATTATCTACACACCGTTTAATTCTCACTAGGGCCACAGGGAGGCTGGAGTCTATCCCAGCTGACTCAGGGTGAAGACAGGGGACACCCTGGACAGGTCACCAGTCTATCACAGGGCTACACTTAGAGACAGACAACCAAGCACACTCACAATCACACCTACAGACAATTTACAATCACCAATTAACCTCAACATGTTTTTGGACTTGTGGGAGGAAGCCACGCTGCACGAGGAGAAGACGCAAACTCCACACATTAAGATCCCGGGTGTTTCATTACTTAATTTTACATCATTTTTGGCCCTTTTTATTATCGTGTCTTCTGCTTTGTCAACACTTCTCTGATTCTTGAGAAGAACATTTCCTAGTAAAACCACTCCTGATTGCACGACTCCATTTCAAGTAACTCTAATTAATCAATAACCGGGTTAAAGAGCATGTCGTTAAACTCGAGGTAATATATTTAAAACTCAAACACCGACTTAAACCCCTTTCATGCCATGAAGGTTAACCATTCCCAGAGAGTCAATATAAAGGGATTTTCTCGTCACCGTGTGTGTGTAAAGCTGTAAAATGTGAGATTTGATTACATAAGACTGTGCTTTTCACTCTGACTCATGCTGACCAGTGATGATAATGAGTGTGTTGAAATCGGCAAGTCATAATGAGACAAGAATGACTTTTGAGATTGTTGGACTTCACTGTGTCCTTCTGGCAGCTTCCAGCTTTTCCAGGACACTTGGACGTGACCTGAGTCACCCACAAAGCTGCTGTCTGCGACTAGAATCAAAGGAAGTTCCTGTTCTGGTTATAGTTGGTTACGCTTTAAAAAATCAAAGGTCACAGACTAGCAGAAATAATACAGGGAAACAAAATTAGAAAAAATTTCCACTGTGGCTTATTGTTGTCTAGTTTAGCTGTTTCGAATGTCACTTCCTTACTGGAGTGAGGTTGTGTAAAAAAAGATTTCGTTTTTTTTAGCAGCAGTAAAAGTTGGATTGTTGCAAGACATCCTGAGCAGAAAGAAAAAGTCGCAGCAGCAGAAGATTCGTTTTGATCAGATGCTTTTGATGTCTGTGAGCACACATCTTTAAAACAACTTCATAGAAGCAAAATGACGACAAACAAAACCAACCTCAGAGATGCAAAACAACCCGAAATTTTAAAAGAAAGACCACAAAGAAACACGAAACAACCACAAATGAACAAAAACAACCACACAGATGCAAATCAACCCGAAATTTTAAAAAAAGACCACAAAGAAACACGAAACAACCACAGATAAATAAAAACAGCCCTAAAGAGATGCAAAACAACTACAGACAGACACAGAACAATCTCAAAGAGGGGCAAAACAACCACAAATAAACAAAAACAACCACACAGAGATGCAAAACAACCCGAAACTTAAAAAAAAGACCACAAAGAAACACGAAACAACCACAAATAAATAAAAACAGCCCCAAAGAGATGCAAAACAACCACAAAGAGACACAAAACAATCTCAAAGAGGGGCAAAACAACCACAAATAAACAAAAACAACCACACAAAGATGCAAAACTTGTACAAAAGGGACACAAAACAACGTCAAAGAGACACAATACAGCTACGAAGTAAATGAAAACAACCACGCTGCGATGCAAAACAACTACAGAGACGCAAAACTATCACAAAGGGATACAAAACAACTGCACAGAAACAATAACAATCGCAGATAAATTTTAAAAAAGACACAAAACAAACCACAAACAGACAGAAAACAGCTGCAGTGAGACACTAAACATCCTTGAAGAAAGTCAAAACAACCATACAGGATAAAAAACAACCACAAAGAGACACAAAACAACTGCAGAGACACAAAACAGTCAGACAAAGATGCAAAACAACAACAATCTATCTCTAGGAACACATGAACTGTAGCTCAGGTGGTTGAGAAATCAAATAAATTCAGTGCATGATGCAGGTTTTTAACTAACAAACTTCTGGCAGTCCAGTACCGAACTTCTTCTTCATTCCTTTGCACGTCTAAGGATGTAAATAAACTGCAGAAAGTAGCAGGAGCTCAGGTTTCACAAAACCTAACACGGGCCTCAGTCTTTGTTTGTGCTGCCGGCATCACAAACATCAGTGAATCAATTAAGTTCACATCGCCGATAGATTGTCCGCAACCGAATGGGCATCACCAAAAATAAAACTCATCAAAGCGCCAGTTGTCATGGCAGCCCCTGCAGGTGACAGCATTTTCAGATGTGAGCTGGTGAACCCAACAAAGGCTTCACACCCGCTATTGATGGGGACCGCCACTTGTGGAGGCTGAATAGTCCCACAGAAAACCCAGACACCCAGAGGAAATGATGCTATTATTTTTCCACGGCCCTCTGATGTGGGTGACATGAATAGGCTGCCCACTTCAACGGCATGATTTTGATCTGCCGTGTACGTGCAAGCGCTGGAAATATCGTCCCGCCTGATCTCTTGGTTGTTTAAACTGTGCTGCATGAGTGGCACAATGAAGCCCCAAAGTATGTGGTATGACATAAATAAACGCTATGTAGGAAAATACCTCAGAAAATGTTTCTAAAGCGACTTTATGTTTGATTTTTTAAAAAGCTGGTTTTCTCCCTACGGCACATTTATCAAATTATTTCACAATATAATCCAAGACTGCGTCAAGATAGGGTTGAAATCAAGCTTGTCAAATCAGGCTAACTGTCGAAATAAACCTGACTTGTTTGTTAAACCAGAGTTCCTGTAACACTGAGCTGATGGGAAGATTTTACTGCTTACTCTCCAGTTTGCTGCCGTATGATTTCACTTTATTAACCAACACTAGTCCAAAAAAAAGTAAGAAAATCAACCTAAATAAATGAAACCATAATAAATGATGACATTTATACCTACATATGTGATATCAGATGTTTAGACGACACCAAAAGAATGACAATAATTGCACAAATAATTAACAGTACAACAACCAACACGAGCTATAATAAGTAGAAATGTAATATCTAGTCTTGTTGTTTATTTTTGGGTAACATATTTGAGGTTTTCAGTGTGGAAACAGCTGACTTTCTACTTGCATCAGCAGTTCCTTGCAACCTTTCTCTCTGGTCTGTTTATCACAGCTGTATGACCTTTATTGAACAGATGTTTGAATTACTCACATGTTCCTAATAGTAAATACTGCTCGCTCATCCTGATAACAGCACACACACACACACACAGCTATCTTTACTACTTGAACCTGTATTAAATTAGCCTGACTGCGTAAAGTCAAAGTGACCTTTATTGAACCTCTGTAGTCCCAACTGAACTGTGTTAAACTTGGATCCCCACTTATCGTGCTTTATGATATAGTTATATGATGGATTAGGTGAGAGGGTGGCGCCAACACCACTGTGGCATTAATAAAAGTGGTGTACAAGTATCATATTTTTAAAAAATGGAATGATAATGAGGGGCTGCAAGGTGTTGGTTAGCACTGTTGCCTCGCAGCAAGAAGGTCGCCGGTTCGCGTCCTGGTGAGGACACCCGGAATCTTTCTGCGTGGAGTTTGCATGTTCTCCCCGTGCAGCGTGGGTTCTCTCTCTGGGTTCTCCGGCTTCCTCCCACACAGTCCAAAAACATGTTGAGGTTAATTGGTGATTCTAAATTGTCCGTAGGTGTGAATGTGAGTGTGCTTGGTTGTCTGTCTCTAAGTGTAGCCCTGCGACAGACTGGCGACCTGTCCAGGGTGTCCCCTGTCTTCACCCTAAGTCAGCTGGGATAGACTCCAGCCCCCCATGACCCTAGTGAGGATTAAGCGGTGTATAGATGATGGATGGAATAATAATGGTATGGTCAAATACAGGACATTTATGTTTTATACTATAAAAACATTATGAGGACAAATTAACATTTAGTATTTCACCATGTATGCATTTACTGGTGAATTTATACTGTGCTTACATTATCTTTTTATGAAACTATTTCATATTTAATTGATAAGGAACACAAGATAATACTGGTCTGAATATATTGAATAAGTATTCTTGTAATGTGATGTGAAATTACATCAATCCAGCGATAAAACTCACTAAGCCACACTGGTTTAATTATAGATAAACTAACTAGTATAGTTAAATACAAAAAAGCACAACTAAAATATAAGCTGCTATTTATTTAGAATTGTTATTTTGTTTATCATTATTTAAAAAGAGGAATCCTCCTTATGTACTGCTGCATTTAGGAACCAGGCCACATATCACAACAGTTCTCCTCTGTTTCTAGATTAGGATTTAATTTCCTGAATAATATCAAGCACTAAACCAAATTATTAAACAGCAACCTCATATTTTCATGAAGCAAAGTGAAGAGCAAGTTGCTTGGGAACAGAAAAAATCTTGATCTATTATATTTTCTGAAACCCAAGTCAGCTCCATTTCTAACTTCAAAGTCAACCTGAAGCTACAAGTGACAGTCAGACAACACTGAAGGTGAATTCATCCTTTATTAAGTGTCGAGAGAGAAGTAGTCTATAGTGGTTTGACACCAACAAACAAAGTCATTTATACAGATGACCAATGTCACTCACTAACAGCAGTCAGAACACCGTCTTCTACACGATTGAATATATCTTTTACATACACATAATGCAGAGGCAAACAGCGAGAAGCGACAAACGAGCATTAAATTAACTGAGTAAAAACCGAGTGAAAACACAACAGTCGGTACACTTCGGCTTGAACTTTCCTTTCAGTTGTTTCAAAGTGTTCTGATGCGGCACTCACAAGGAGTCGAAAGGTGTACGCCTGCAGGCTCTTTACGCCTTTTTGCGGAGGCGGAGTCCCTCTTAAAGAAAGAAAACTCCGACGCCTCCGTAAAGCAAATATAAATATCGACAACGACATGTGTACATCTCAAATGAATCTTACAGGAATGATGGAGGCGTGGCGATAATCCACGCACGCACCACGGCATCCATTCTGGTTGTGTGCCAATTTAACTTTAATTTATTAGCCTGTGTACCCTCTTGCATACAGGAGGGTAAATAAGTGTTTGAAGTTGGGGGTTGGACGAAGGGTTCGGACCACCATCAGGCGCTTCTGCAGAGGGACATCGATCCTGGCCCACCTCAGTGTTTAAGGTTACGGACGAGGATGTCAAAAACAGCCCAAACACACACGTACTCAGCGGTGGTGTGTGCCGGTGGCTTCCTCTGAGAAGGACACGCTGGTGGAGGCCAGTAGAAAAAATCAGCAGAGTAACCCCGCTGTTCAGCAGGCTGCCCTCATATCAAACTCCCCTCAGCCAGAGCCTCAGCCTGGCTCTTTTCCGGTCGCCACTTAGCTCCCTAAATAAGTGCTTTCACCGATTCAGACGCTGGCCACGATGTTAGGTTTGTCCTGAGAAACAACCAAGTGGCTGGAAGTGAGGCCGAGCTTTACAGGTTGGCTGGGATCTAAGATGAAATGGTTTCAAAGTGGAGTTTAACGCAAGAGCAGCCCGCTAAACGAGCAGGGTTTAACCTCAGCAGCCGGACTGGGTGATGTCTCCACCGGAGCTCTTCGTCACGTCCAAAGTGGTGAAGACCTGGAAGGTAGAGGGGACGCATGAGTAAGTCATGGACGTTCACATTTCACATGCTTCAGGAACACACAGCTAACATTTCTGCCTGAAATCAAACGACTCAAAACTACACAACCCACAGGATAAAACGAGACGCTAGAGGTCTAAAGCACAGTTTCATAAAAAGGAGGGCAGAACACCGAACTTCACCGGACGTAACGGAACTGCTCTAACGACGATTTGTGTTAATGTCAGATGAAGATGTTGCCAAATCATTGTTAAAAAATGGAAATGCAAGTAATGTAAAAACATCAAACAAGAGGAAAATGGCTGTTCAATGTGCTGCGACTATCACCGTAACACATTACCATAATGAACGAGTAACGCTGCTCATTAATTAAGCTAATTAATACGCAGGATGTATTACTGAAAACAGAAAAAATAAAAATGTAGACACCTATTCAGTTTGAGATCTACAAAATATGATTACTAATCCTCCTCCATTGCATGTTAAAGGAAAGTCAGACCTCCAAATAGACACGTGCTGATAAATTCTCTATGCTTTAGCTATTTTACTACATGTCTGATTAGGACAGCTGCATGTAGACAGCCATCTGTTTGACTTCTGAATGTTTGTTGCACACATAAAAGCATTGTAGTATGGAGTATGTTGTCATTTCCTGGACTGTTGGGCAACAGAATACTGTCGCAACAAGCAGCACAAACAGTGTGTTTGTTGTACAAGTGATGCTACACCAGTCTTCATTTTGCTCATTCAGACTACAAGTCAAACACATTCCAACATTTCAACTGAAAGTCATGTTTCACTGCTAACAACTAGTTGAACCGGACTTTTTACGGTTGTCACGGTTAAGTTCTTCCAGAATGCAGATGCTGGAGAGGATGTGGATGAGCAGTTTAATGTAGTTACTTAAACTGGGCTTCTGACTTAACACTCTCCAAATACAGGCAGAGTCAAAATTCTGCTGCTGTATTTCAACATCATTTCAAAGCACAGCCTCTCAGGAATCAAATGCTGTGCACTGTTTGAAATCAAATCAAAATCAAATCACGTTTATTGTCATTCTGCTGTACATACACAGTAGTACAGGCAAGATGAGAGAGTGTTTCTTCAGGATTATTCAACCAGCAAGTTTTGCAGAATGCACATCTGGGATAAGACACTAAATGTTTGCTGTCCCTGCCTCCTGAAGGGGCCGCTGCATCCATGCACGCCGCCATTAAGCTTCCAATATCACAGCAACACCAGCATTCGGATAGTTAATTTGTTATCGGAGCATGTACAAAATAGAGGCTTTATATTTTTTTTTCTGTTGTTAAGTCACTACGTACTCTGTGTTTTCACTTTGGGAGTCCAACGAACTGAACACTGCAAAGCTATTGGTCATTTTAGTAAAACGTGGTGCATGTTACTCTGAATTCAATCATGGTTCTTCGTAAGACAGTCGAGAACTAGAAGTCCCTTCCTCAGAACTCCATGCCAGCCAACATTTGACAAACTGTAACTCAGAATCCCACAAACGTGAATCAAACCTGATCACTAACTGCGATCGAATGAAGAGTAAAATAGCCATCATAAAAATTTAAACAATAAAGATGAAATTGGGCCATGTTAGGACAAAGTGGCGTTTCTACCTCAGCGCAGGTCGGGTGGATGCCGATGGTGCCGTCCAGCTGCTCTTTGGTGGCGCCGCACTTCATGGCTGCGCCGAAGCCCTGCGTGACTTCTCCTGCGTTTGGACCGAGGTAGTGGAACCCGATGACTCGATCCTGCAGCGTGACACGGTTACATTAGGCGTAAAACACACAACAAGAAGCTTCGGCTCAGTGAGACAGCGAAAAAAGCAAGCGACGATCTTACGTTGTCCAGCTTATTGCAAATTAACTTGGCGTAGCATCTGTTGTTGTCCCTGCCGGGCACAGTGAACTCCAAAGGCCAGAACAGACTGTGAAACACCTGAACAAAGGAGCAGAAGAAAAAAAAATTAACTTCTTTAATTAGTCAAAGGAAAACTTCTCAGCTATACTGCAGATATCCACATTGCACTGCACGAGATTCACAGCCAGGGGAACCAGATCTTTCATCCATTATTCAGGTGTCTTACCTCGACGTTGTCCTGCCCATACAGCTCAATGGCTTTCTCCTCTGACAGGCCGCAGGAACCGTACTCCAGCGGGGTGAAAACGGTGGTGGGAACATTGATGTAGTCACACTGCATAAACATAGACAGGTCATGAAGGTTTACTGGGTGAAATAAATGCAGCTGCTGTTGGAAGTCACACATTATTCCTTATTCCAGATGTCACATTAGGAAGTTTCAGTAGGTTGTAGTGAATGTGAGGTTCACAAGTGTTCTACAGTTCAAGCAGTGTTGTCCTGACATTCAGCCTATCTGTCTTAATGAGCACCACGCAGTCAAAACCCAGACTTTCGATGACACCCAGTAACATTTCACAGTTCATGCATGTATTTTACCGCCCTGGCGAGCTACAGGTTTTTTATATACATGTTATTTTGCTGGTAAAAAACGTACCTTCAGTGTTGATCCCTTATAGAGGCGTCGTGCCAGCAACCTGCCAGCCTGGATGGCTACAGGCGTCAGCTCCCACTTCCCCTCCAGAATGTCTCCGATGGCGTAGATGTGGGGAACGCTGGTCTGCTCTTCATCGTTCACTGGGATTTTACCGTTCCTGAAGGGAGGGGTGAAGATGTCAGTGAGGACGAGTATATAAAAAAAACTTTACTTTGACGCAGTTTTTTTCCTTTAAGTGTGTTTTTTTTTTTGCCTCAATTATGTTGCATATAAAAAGTGAAATTAAATATAGAACTATTTGTGTGCATGTATGGGGAAGTACAAATGCAATTTTCCTCCTTCTAAAGAGAACCATATAAACTTGACAAAACTGATTACTATAAACCAAAATAAAAATATTGTTTATAAAACTACAGATAGTAAAATTATGAGATGTAAAAATCGATTACAACCTAAATGCATCCGAGGGTTGTTTAAAATGATTGTAATTTAAATTGGTAGACAATAAAATACAATTAATTGTGAGGATCAAAGTAAAGCATTAAAAAAAATCCTTGCACTTCAAGTAAAAGGGGTTGAACTGACTTTATGGAACAACTGTTGGAAACATAACACACTCAAGTGAAATACTTTAGTACAACATGCTTCAGTAAACTGGGTTTTTGTCTTGATGTTTGCTCTTAATGTCAAACCAAAGTATTCTAAAACCAGACAGGAATATTTCTTTATTTAGGGACTGCAGGACTCTTTATATTGCTGTGGTGCATTGTTCATAACTATTCCAGCAAGTCTTTTATTCATAGTTCATTGCCAATGCTACTGACTGGAGATTTAACAAACAACTTAATAGAAAAACTGCATCCACCATTTAATTCGGACACTTTACTGCAACAATCATGCGAAAAACTCCTATCAACGCCTAAGATCTTACTGAGCAAACTGCAGCGCCACGTTAAAACTCTGCACCGTACAGCAGCGGAAGCACAAACATGCCGACGGCCCCTGAACCCGGTGGCCTTGTGGTTACATGTCGGCTTCATCTGAATATCACTACGGTCATGAGACTAAGGCATGACTCTGAGCGCTCTTTTAAGCCGGCCTCATGCTGTCTTAATCCCCGTTGGCTTCAAAAAAACATGGAAATCCTCCTTAAAAGGCTGCAAACTCTGTGCTTGCAATATCAGAGTCAACATTTATTTGCAAAAAGTGGAAGTCTGTCAGATTGTTTCCAGTTTAAACCTCGTTCCCTACACGCTGCAGACGCAAAAGAGGCACAACAGGAAATGTGTTGCTCCAAGCCATCAAACAAGCCGGATAATCAAGTTACTGCAGACAATGTGAAATTGAAACCAGACTGGGAAATACCATTTAAATGAAGTTACATCACTTTTCTGCTGTTAATACACCACACATTATCTTAACAATAAGTCAGCCGTGCTCTCTGGCTAACAAATCCCCGAGCGCACTCACATGCTTCCCCTGCAGGGAGCCATGAGACGGCAAAAACTGCTGAATCACCGTGACTGTAGTGTGAGTCTTAAAGGCACACAGCAGTGGGATGAACGTACAGACCGACGACACACGCAGCGAGACAATAAACTTACTTGGGGTTGACTTTGACCCCCGTCTTGTCCAGGCCAATCTTGTCCGTGCATGCGTCTCGACCCACTGCTATCAACACCTGATAAAGAGAACCACTCATTTAGTTTCGAGGAAGGTCTGAGTTGAGCCAGCTGCTGGTGCCTGTATTTGCACAAGAACAGCTGAATAAAAAAATTCCACAGAAGAAACGGTACTGGGTCATACTTAATTAATTATTTCCTTCCTCTTAGATACTTTTCATTTTACTGAGCATCAAACTGAAACCTGTGAGTGTTTAATATCATGATGACGCGGTTCTTTCTTTCGTTTAGCACCGAAACGGACGGTTACCTTTGATTTGTAATGCAAATATGTGAAGAATGTAATTATCTAAGCATCTGAAATTTACCTATTAAACAGTATCACATTTACATTTGGCCAAAAACAATAAAAATAGGATCTAGTATTCAATAAGAAAGTAACTATAAGTAGTAATAAGGTGTGTTAAAGTAGAAAAACTACACAATAATTCAAGAGATTATTATTAAATGTTTACAAATAACAGCTATATTTTAATTTTATTTTAAGATTTTCCAAAAATTATGTTTTCATTTTGTGACATTTATTTTTAAATTACACTTTATTCCAGGTCACCTTTCAGCCAATCTTAAACTAGCAAGTTCAACTACAGCTATCAGATTTAGTCATTGAGCTCCTGTTAGCTGGAGCAACAACAGAATAAAAGTAACTGAATCAACCATCTAGCAGCTGTTGTTCATAAACACAGCACACAGAGACAGGGACCAGCATCCCCCGTTTCATATGTACCGTAACGAGCCTACATAAGCTAGCTGAACTGAGCTGTAAGCTTTTTTTTTTATTACTTAGCATCAAAGTTAAATTACAGCAGCAATTAAGGTAACTGGCTAATTCTGTTATCTTGGTGGTGTTTTGATTCCAAAGATAATCCTCAACAGGAGCTAGCAAACACGTAGCAGTCTCAGCCAAAGAACTTATCTAAAGTTTGAGTTATTTATTCTGCGTACTGTGACGTAACAAGGGGGCAGCAACAACGGCACTCATGAAAAAAAAAAGAAGTAAATGAACAGCATCGAAATAAAAAGAAAGGGGAAAACGGCAATCTGAGATCTAACAAGACATTTTAAAACTGAAACGACATCTAATGAAATTCAGTCATAACATTCAACAATTCTGAGTTTCTGGTTTATGTGTATATTTTACACAATTTTCCCACATTGTTTTTTCTATTAGAATTTTAAGTTTAATCCATTATGAACAATTTAGGATTCCTTATAACACCACAACACACACTATGCATAAAATACACGTATGCTACGAGTATAACAGCTGTCAGAGGGGAGAGTTAAAGGAAGAACAAATCAACAACAATAAAGAATAAAAAGGTACGTACAGTGTTGTACTCGCCCTCAGTGATCTCATCGCTTTCTGTAGACTTGGCTGTCACCTTCAGCCTGCCTGGAGTGCCTGCTTCCAGCTCCTCGATCTGACACATAAGAGGGACAAACATGTTGAACTGTGTCAAACGTCTGGCTGCGAAATAAAACTTATAAGATGGGACAGCAAGAAAATAAGTGAAATTAATTGCACCGATTTCAAAGTATTATTCATTTAACCTGTATTTAAACTGGGAACGCAACGAGGTATGGAGGTTTTATTTACATTATAGGAAGTACAATAAAATGATGTAAAACTCTAAATATGTATTAAAATATGACCCGAAGCTCATGCTAAACATTCAGCTGCATCTTGACACACTTCCTCTGCATTTAGCTGAGCAGCAGTTTCATTAACACTCACCTTTATAGGCACGTATTTGCGGAGGAACTTGACGCCGTGTTCCTCCATGTGCTCTCCAGCACGGTTGGCCATGTCCTGGTCGAAGCCCCTCAGCAGGATGGACCGAACCATGACGGTGACGTCGAGTCCCAGGCCGGCCAGGAAGCCGCCGCACTCCAGAGCCACGTACGACGCTCCGATCACCAGCGTCTTTCCCGGGCAGTACGGCAACGAGAACAGGTCGTCGCTGGTGGACGAACACAGAGGAGGGTTGATGCACAGAGGGAGATAGAGCATTAGGAACGCGTTTTTTTCCTGGTTGCAAGCAGGTAAACTTTCTGGTTAAAAACAATGGAGCTTAATTGTTTTAATCCCAGCTGGATTTAGCAGGTGTGACACATTCTGAAGCTGGACTGGAACTTCTGGTTTTTCTTCTTATTGGGTGTGAATAGAGGTCATCTGACTTTCATGTAAACCCTACAGCGAAACCTATTGATTATTAAATGAAACATGGTGGCCTCTTGCCCTGCAAATTGGGCACTAATAATACTGTTCTTATGCTAGTATCAAGGCTGTGGTTGGCTCCATTTTGGATCTAGTCCCAGTGGTAAAATACCTGGGTTCTGCCTCTTACCAAGCCTATGATCAATCCTTTTTTGATTAGCAAAGAACTGTGTTGAAGACAGTTATTTGGATTAAATGGTCTGGGGGAAAAAAAAAAACTGAAGTATGCTCTTAAATCGGTGTGTCAAGACAACATAAATCAACCGACAAAGTTTCATATTTCTGACTTCTAGTTACTTGCTGACGGTGAAAGTTAAACTAAATGATTCAATACGGGATTTCAAACAATTCATATCAAATAAAACGCTCTGATATTGGACTTGGATTCAACTAAATGCTGTCACATCCTAAGCCATACCATTGTTTCCTATGTTATGCGGCAACCCTCGATATGACACATGTGGGAGTAAGTGAGCAGCGAGAGGTAATTGGCAAAACAAGCAGCATAATCACCAAAGACACCAGAGAATAATCTGACATAACATACAGACAGCTGGGAGATCAATGGATGCCCTGAGGCGAGGCCACCTGCTAGGTCATGAAAGGGTGTGTCCACCGTTTCAGAGATTACACTCGGTCAACACACTGCGGCAAAAGACGCTTTTTCGGAAATCTGCCGGACGCACCCACTGATCTTAAACTGAGCTCTGGGTGGGGCTTCCAGTAACACACGCATGTCACAACATAGGACAGGTTTACCGAAGCATTGCGCTCTCACCTGGTGATGCAGTAGTCCTTGTCTCCGGGGATGCCCAGGTAGCGTGGCCTCTCACCTGTAGCCAAGACAAACTTGGCCGCTGTGTAAAACGTCTCCTTTCCTCGTTTGTTTGTCGCCTGTCAGGAAAGGCAAACAGAGGCTATGAGGTACAGATGGTGCAAAAATAACAAAGTTGTTTACCGATGACGCACAGCATTTTTTTTTGGAAGAGTGAAACTGAAACTTTGTGTGCAGCTAAAAATGTGATCACCTAACAACACGGCTGAAAAGGCAGCCTAAATATTTAGTCTTGTCCAGACAAACAACACAGAACGTTTGCTACCACACCAGGCTAGACAACATTTCACAACAGACAGCTCATGGAGATTAGTGACGACTTTTGGGATGGTAACTTGAACAATGTCCTACTATAAAAAGTTATGGAAATGCTAGTTGCTACATCTTCTAAAAACTGGTTCCAAACCAGAACTCCAAGCTAAACATTTGCACAAGTTTACTGACGGTCGTTTGATATGACAAGTACCCCATTTACCTTGATTTTGTGTGGTTCAATGAACTCTGCATAGGCATTGACATAGTTGACATTCTTGTCTCTCAGTGCCACCCTGTAACCCCAGTTCAGCGAGCCAATGTAGTTGTTCACCGCCGTCTTCATTGTCTCCCAGTTGTGTTTCACTGAGGGATGACAGACACTTATGAGTGGGATCAGCGGAGAAACGACAAGCGACTCCTGACAAAGCTCGCCTCTGATTTACCATGGCAAGCCGGTGCTATGTCCCCCCTCCGTGACCTCCTGGGTCGCTGCTCTGAGCCCTCACCTGTCTCGTCGAACTCCCAGCCGAACTTGCGGGCGTCCTGCATGGCCGTTCCCAGCAGAGCCGTCTGGTGCATCAGCTTCTTGGGAATGCAGCCAACGTTGACACAGGTTCCGCCCAGACCTGATCACCGCAGCGGGGGAACAATGGAACAGTCGCTCAGCAGCCACATTAGACCACAAAGTATCTAAGAAGTGATCATGAAAGAAAGTATCTTACCCCAGGTGGTTCCTTTTGGTGTGGGCACCACATAGTCCAGCACCATCACCTTCTTCCCCAACGCAGAGGCTTCCTATTGTCAACAGAGCCGATGTTACCGTTTCAGCGCATAAATTAGTCCTTTAGTATGTATGTATCCAAGAAGAAACAGTTTATGGTTCACACTAACTGCAAATTTTCTGACAGATATTGCAAACAGATTTTATATAACATTTTTAAAGTCATGCTTCAAGTTTGATATTTAATGCACAATACATTTAAAACATGTGCTGCAGCGTTATCACGTCAGACACCATGAATTTATACACAACAGTGGGTCAAACAAGCTGCATAAAGCATATCGTACTTTGCAGCCTTCATGAGTTGCTAACTGCATTGCTTAAAGTTTTGATCTGAGATTGATTTGATTGCTCGCTCCCAGCTTCAAGAAGCGGTGCAGTAACTGATTGCAGAATTACAACATCGGCATCAGTTTCACAATGATTCTACGACAAACAGCCGACCGCAAAATTGCGCAACAGAGCAACAGCCACGACTGCAGGTAATGCTGAATGTGTTGTAGTTAATCTGATCACCTTTGAGCAGGCCAGGCCTCCGGAGCCTCCTCCGATGACGATCAGGTCGTAGTCATACGCTTCGTTTTCCCCGCTCAGAAGCTGCTGCAGGCTGCCGTCTTTGTGAGCCTGACACAAAGATGAACACAATGCTGTAGTTGTACTGATTGCATGCCAACAAAAAAAGATGCTCTGATAACTTTAGAGTGAATTTGTGAACGATGCACTGCCTAATGGCTACTCTTAATCATTAATCCACGTTCTTATGATTTAGTTACCTCTGTGCGAGGGTTGTAGGCTGCTAGCTTACGTAACATAACTGGGACAACGACAGCCGACCTTCGAGCTGGGCAGTGGGAAACTGTGCATTTCTCTGCCTGAACTTTTGTGACACCTTTCAGCAGATCGTTCACGTTTCCGTTCTAACATGCAAAAGACTTGCTGCACATGTGGCAACGAGCGCTGTCGACATCAAGAAGGATGGCTCAAATGCATCATTAATCAACCAGAAAGGGGGTTGGTGACTTAAAATACGCAAAATTACATTTATCTGGTAAAAATAAAGCAAAGTTAATTATCTTCTGTTTGTTCAGTACCATGAGTAGAACCAGTGATGGAGCTTGTTGATGCTCTGGTATTTAAATATTTAATCCTGGAGAACTTTTGGTTAAATTTTCAAGTTTCAGATTTACTCTATGCAACATTTTCAGACACAAAACTATGAACATCTAACCCGGTATATGATATTACCTCTCTGTCAGTAATCATTTTGGGCCAATACTAGTTTAATTTAAAGTGTTTCTCAGCGGACATCAACTTTCCAGTAGCTTGCAGCAGCTGAATCCACTTCAAACAAAAGGACAATGTTTGGTTATCAGCTGATAGATTCAGTATCATTTACACAACCTGCACTCCATCTACACTGGCTTACTTGTCTGTGTCATGACGTAACACGCAGCAGACAAATGGAGACCAGCGGTGCACACAAAGACAAAATAAGAGTTCCTCCTTATTTGATTATCTGCTCATAGCTCACCGACATGATCTACCGGCACAGCTGAATGTTTTTGGTTACATATCTTGCTTCGTAGCCATGACAAAGATCTACTCTCGTTTTGGGATTAGAAGAAGAAAAAAGGACACTGTGCACTTTATGAGTCATATCTATCCAAGAGAAAAATGGTGGGTTGAGCTTCTCAAGTGCTGAGGAGTGTTGCATGGATTCGCAGCACCAAAGAACAAAACACTCAAAAAAGATCCGCACAGAGCATCGATGTGAGGACACCGGTTCCTTACCTGCAGTGTTTTGTCGCAGCCGCCAACATGCGTCTTGCTGATGAAGACATTGGGTACTGTTTTCTGTCCGGTCATCTCAAGCAGCATCTCCTGGTAGTTTGTTCCATCCTCTGGACAGAAAGGTTAATATTGTGTAAGTGCAAAACCAAGAGTTTCCAAACTGCATCTAATTTTCAATATTTGACTGTTTGTTTGGAATATCTGATAACACACAAGCAAAATGCAAGAGTTACAAAAGAAGATGAGCTAAAACAGTCCTGGTTAGGTCTGTTTTAGCAGCGACAGTTTGCTAGTAACGTGACAAAACGGCGTGCTGTTGTAGCACCTGTTGGAGACTCAAACATCACACATTTTATTAAAACTGGAAATAATCTTTTCTGTCTAAGCAGCACGACGTGACTTAACTTTAACGGTAAATACTCTGTAGTTTCCTTTTGCAGGCAATCTTCTCAATAACAGCTCCCCCCCTCCATAATTAAAAGTATTATAAATCTAGCTAACATTCATGTTGCTACATGCTACTATAAATAAGCAATTTCCTGAGCTGGTGCCATTCTGGTCTACGCTGGAAATGATCAACAATCATATACTTGATGGTGATTAAGTTTATCGGTCTTTATCTGATTAATCATTAACATAATCACATGCTACCCTTTAACAATAATAACTAAAACTGTGACAGAAATAACTTAGTAGAAAGAGTTTGGAGGTTACAGAGTCATGGCAAAAGGCAGTCATCATGGAGTGACTCAGCACATTTTGTGCTGCAGCAGAGGAGCGAAGAACACACCAGCCCTACCACTGGAGCCCTGGATGGGTTTTTTTTTTACATGAAACTGTGTGGATTTAAACCAAGTTGGGAAAATAATTAGATATATTTACATGAATAATATTAACAAAACTAGATTACAAGAAGGAGAAGGCAGTAAACTAACAACAAAAGTAAAGTCTGTAGATTCTCAGACACTAAAACTTTTAGAAACACAAGTTAAAAAAACTACTAGTAACTGTGAACCTGCTGAATATTTAAAAGCTATTTAAAACCAATAATAGACAGATAATGCTATAACTAATATGAACCCAAACATACTTCTGACTGCTGTTCCCCTGACATTATCCAACACCTGCTTTCCCTGCATTTATACCTGTCCATGTATAAAAATAAGTATTTACACAGATCAAGACGTATTTCTGTGATTCATCTGTCACATATAGCAGTTAAAGCCTTTTTTTAAAAAATTATTAAGCAACATTTTGCACATTGTTTGCAGCACAACGCCGTGGCAATCAAATATAAGGACATACTAAGACTTTCTGAATACACACGACTTGTTAATAATCAGAAATTCTCCTATAATAAGGTACATTTGACATCATTGCAAGTGTGTTTAATGATATGATGCACAACAACCTCCTCTTGTCGGTGTAACATCTGAGATCTCATCACTATGCTGCTTAGAAATGCTGCTTGACAGTAAACAGCCACAGATGTTTTTACAACCATCATTTAGCATGCAAATCTAGATCTCAAGACAGCATCACAAAATCAACCCTGCACTGGCAGCACACAGTCAGCCCTGATCAAATATGAAGCACTGGTCTGACTGGTAATGTGCTTCATTCGCTAAAAGTCTGTTTTGTTTTTATGCAAATGTAAGTTTTAGCCTGTCGCTCCACAAAAAAAAGGAACTTAACCCTGCAACAGATATTTTAATACATATCAGTCTAGTCCAGCTTACCGATGAGATCCAACTCCACCACCTTGCACTCGACTTTCAGCTCTTTGAACAAGTCTTTTACCTGAAAGACACACATGAAAGATATATCAGTTTTCCAGACGCGCAAGAAAACAAATATAGTAAATTCAAACATCCCCCCCTCAAATGTATATAAAATAAACGTATGTATGCCAAGTTGACAGTGAGCGTCACCTTGTTTTACCTTTAGCTCTGTCGAGCCAATTAGGTCCCAGTTAGCCGTAAATTATGCAAGCTAACTTTTCCAAGAAGCACTACGGCATAAAGCGAAGCGGCTAACGGTGCTTCTCACACATTATTTTCAACTTTGACCTGACATATATTCTGTAAAACAGTACGGGCCGCTGTAGACTGTCTCATAACTAGTGGTAAAGTTTGGTATCAGCCTTAAAAGAAACCAAGTTGCGGACTGCATTGACGCAGCTAAGACGAGCCAGCAATTAGACCGAGCCCGTGGACTTCGCGGGAGAATATGGAAGTTTCCGACCGGCATAAAGCGAGGTCTCCCGCGTCGACAAAACACGTAGCTTACCTTTACACAATACGGACAGTAGCTTTTGCTGAAAACGATCACTTGATTGGTGTCGATGAGCTGCTGTATCCGAGATTTCAGTTCATTCTTCCCGGTGTCATTTTCGATGGGAGGCATTTTCAAGGTATTTCCGTCTGCCTGCGCAGGGCAAGCTTCGATAGACGGCTGACGGGAGAATGACGGCAAAGCAAGTTAAGTAGCACCAACTCTGTCTCTCTCTGTCTCTATTTTAGTCTCTCGGTTGTTTCTCCGAGAGAAAATAGTACAAAAAAAAAAAAGCAGCCGAACAACGGTCCTGACCTCGGCTCCTCTCCCTCCGCTGTCAGCAGCTAGTCTACCAACCGCGCCAAACGTCTTTTATCATTTCTTGTCGTGCTACTTTGGATGCGCTCGTTATGAGTCACCGCGCTCGCCGTATTTATCGTCGCTGCGCCCTGTGAACGGGAAGAGCCCCGCCCCACACGCTGAGCCTCGCGCTACAAAACGCACCCACCCATAAATACGTCACAAGGTCGGCTATTTACGTGCCGTAAAAGGACCGGAGCAATTATTCCCCGGAAATATTCTTAGTAGGGTTTAAAGGGTTTTACGATGAAACGAGGGTTTACGTTAAAAATAAAATAAAAATAAATAAAACACCTCCTGTCGGCTGGGGGTAACGATAGCAGGAGTTAGGGGGCCTACAGGCGCCCCTGGAAGACAGCTAATCCTAATTTAACACAGAAGAGCTGCAGTGTAGTTTTATTTGAGATGTGAGTTGCACCATTGCAACTGCCTTCCTAAAGTTGGAAGGTGATTGAGTAGTTGAATAATCTTTTTTTCTCTTTTTAGCATATAGTTTGCAGGAGTGTGTAGGGTTGCAGTTTTAGTTATTTCAAGTGTCTACTGGAAGTGTAAAGGCGAATAAATGTCTCTATCAACTGGCATACCAGAGGGCTTATTGTAGCATCAGAGGAAGTGTGAGTTTGTTTTAGTGTAGCACAACTTTAACCGTGCAAACGCCATCATCAAGCGGATTGAAACAGGACTTTGTAGTATAATATGGCCAATTTGTAAGAACCTTTAATCAAAGAGAAAAAAAAGTGTTGAGGCTGAGAGACCCTGTTTGTATTATGGGGTCAGCAAGACCCCACATAATGCCTGTTGAGTTTGGTGAATGATTGGTGTCAAATGCATTGCAGATATTTGATTTATTTGATATTTGATATATAATTGATTGAATTTCCCTTCTGGGATGAATAAAGTATTTTTCATTTCATTTCATTTCTATTCGTGATTTTGCAAACACAGCTACCGAATCTTCCCAATTTTCTCTCTTCAGGCTAAAGCTGAAGCAGGTGGCTGCTGTACAGAGTTGGGTTAAAGGTCAACAGTCAACTTTTAATAGGCACTTATTGCTCAACACATGAAAAAAAAAGAAGCAACATCTGCACAGCTGACTATGAAAAGCAGGTGTTTGAACACTGTGGTTTGCGTCATAGTAGCGTTTCCTCAGTCAGCTCATCTGTGATGACTGTGTCTGCACATTTAAGTCAATGAATGCTTTTGAAAATTCGCTTCACTCAGCTTCAGACCACTGCGCATCGTGAAAACCCGATGGAATCATTCATTTGTTCTTTGTGTGGAGTTTAGTGATAGAACTCTGATCAGTCATTTAGGAGCACATTTAAAACAACATGAGATGGTGGACTGGCCATTCAAAAATTGTCACTACCGTACTACAAAAGCTCACAAAAGTTGGAATCATCCAGACTGTGATGTGTCAGACTTTAAGAATGAGATTGCCCTGACAGAAACTGCAGACA